TGCAAGAGAGACCACAAGTGGCATTGCAGTTGGTCCTGTCTCTCTTGCTGCTGTCTCATAGCAGGACATCTCTTCTTAATGACTGCAACACGTGACCAGTTGTCTCTAGGGAAATTCTGGAGTTTACCTCCCCATCTGTTAGGCATCTTATTCTTTCTGTCAGTCATGTGTTCAATGGCTGAGGTGTGGAACTGATGGGAATCAGAGATTATGACTCCACACTGTCGTGCTTTGAAAGCCACCTCACGCACAGTTCATCTTGTGTAATGTTCAAAGCACCCCATGAAGGAGAATATATGGACATGTGCAGCTGGTACAGCCTGTGCAAACCCCCGGAACATTTGTGTGTGGCACAGAACATCATCAGGATTTCTAAGTCCATCCTTATAATAAATTACTTCTCGCACAGCTATTTCTCTCAAGTATGTGATGGCTTTCTCAAGAGTGGGTGTTCTGCTTCGGCACCATTCGATGTCACCCTTGTGGGGGTATCTCTCTCTCACAGCTGAAAGAAATCGGTCTCACAGGGTGATAGTTCTCATCTTACTACTAAGTGCTCTATCAATACCAACGTATCTGGCCAGGGATCCCAGCTGCTTGGCTTCTCTCTCATCCTAGGTTTCAGCACCACTATCAAAGCATCGAAGCAGCCAAGGAATCCACACCATCAATGCGGGTGAAGTCCTTTATCATGAGGTGCAGTTCTTTCATAGAGAAGGGCTGGACAAGGTCATTGTTGTAATCTGATTGAGGAGGGCTTGCTGTTCTATCTGCTTGAGAGTGGTCTCATTTTTTATCTCTTTGTGAGGTACCTGCTCCATCAACTGATTTAGAATCCTCTACTTCCTCACTTTCAGCCTCTGTTGTTGCTTGAAGGAACTCTGCTTGTCTCAGACGGGAGGAGAGTTTTGCCTTTGCTTTGCTCCTGGTCACAGGATGAACTAGCCTGATTCGAAAGGGAGTGGACTTTACCTTTGTAGAAGTAGTTGTTTTTGTAACAACATTTGTAGAACTAGCTGTTTTTGTAGCAGTACGAGTGGTGTTATCAGCAGCAGTGGCAGCAGCGTTGCCTGTGAGGGACTGGAAGTGAATGGAGCAACACCTCATCCTACACATCCACAATACATTATAAATCTTCAGTAGATGCAACAATGCTATTCAGATCAAGGGCTGGGAGATTCAGCTTGAAAAAAAAAGGAAAGGTAAAATTGAACCTCCTACTGCTATTACCAACATGAATCTTTCACTTTAGGAGTTGTACCACTAGGATTTGTACTGTAACTGTACACATACAGTGCCCCCTTAAAGAACAGTATCATAATCCCTAGGATCACCAGGCTGGTAATTATACAGTTGATTATGTATGGCTACAGTTCTGTCAATAAACCATGAAACAATCACAAGAGCAGCTACACAGAGCAGTATGCCGTTGGCTATATACCACATGTACAATTTCATGCTTGGAAAAAGATCCAGTAGATTCATTGCAGAAAGTGTCTATTCAGTTTTCAGTCCATCATGAAATTCAGCAGAGTTGTTGGCCGTTGCTGTCTGAGGGATTCCTCCCATCAGAGATGGAATTTTGAACACTCCCAATGAGTGAAAATTTATAACCTGGGTTAAAATCAGGCCCCACGGTGGGTGCCAATAAATTGTTGTCACTGTTTGACTCAGGTTCAACAACAATGCTCTTGATCCCCTTCCCCTCCCATCCAGGTAGGGAAGGAGAGAAGGGAAAAAGAGAGAGACTTTGCTGGATTGAAAACTAAACTCCACAGCTTTAAATAAACACTAATGATAAAATAAAATAAAATACATACAATTATATATCAATATGTTCAGGTATGTGCAAAAGCCTCTCATCTCCCCGCACCGCCAGCAACTCCCACTCCCACTCCTTAGCTGCAAACAGTCCTGAAAAACCCCAGATTGCTGCTGGAGAAAGCAGAGAGTGATGAGGGTCAGGAGAGCTGGAGCCTGGAGGTCAATGGTGATGGATGGACGGAGTCCTCCCCGGACACCGGCCATGGATGGAGGAGAAGGGAAGAAGAATCAGGAAGGAAGTTTTCTATGATCTCTGACCTTCCTCTGAGCATATGTAGATATATGGAATTGGTCTCTGGCCAATTTTGCTGTCTGTCTAATTCAGCCTCCTATGGGGGGGTCATAGATCTCCCCATAGTGTCTGAGCCAGCAGAGAGAAGGTGCGACCTTGAAGACCCAGCAGTTACAAAACCAGTCCATTCTTATCAGCCTTAGAACACACTGTGACTAGGTAAAAGAAAGCTTGCTGAAGAAAAAAAAAAAATCTGTAAAAGGAAAATTGGCTTAATCCTGGCTTAAACCAGGACACCCTGTCATTTTTCTTCACTTCTGCCTGCACATGTTTGGGTTTGGGTGACTTCATGGTGGGATGCTGCATCAGTTTCCCAAAGGTTCAGCATTTCTTTAGTGCACCACCACTTTGAATTGACATTTGGAAAAGGAGCAGCATTTTTCTTCAGGTCTGGAGACACACATTCTGCTGCTTAAATTGAAATAAGAAGCCCAAGGAAATGCCTGACTGGTAATGGTGTGGATCTTGATTTGGCACCTGGACTGGAATGCTGTGTGTAACTGTGCATTTCAAAATAGTCCTTGTAGTTTAAAAATCACTATATGGTGGGGTTTATTTTTCATCCCAGTTTTTAAAGTATAACAGCTTTTCTACACTGGAATGGGGTGAGGCATTGCACCAACCCTGGGTCTTTGGGTCTCACCACTTGAGAAGCTGTTGGAAGAACTTCATCTGGGAATTAAAGAACTCAGGCTCTGTGTTGTGTGGCGAATCCAGCCTCTGCTTCTCATGGAGTGGTGAGCTTGAAATGGAAAACTTCTTTTATGTAGGTCTGAAAACACTGAGTGTGAATCTGACACCTGTCATTCTATTGCTGATTGGTTTTAATTCCTTTTTGGACATGAATGCCTTTCCTTGTGAGTTTGAGTTAGTGCAGCTGGCCCAGTAACCCTAGTGGTTCATGCAAGGCATTTATGCAAACCATGTTCTTAGTACTTGATCTAATCCAGATGGGCTTTTGTTTCTTGAAAATGTGTACTTTTATTGTTGTCTACTAGCATGTGTATAGACACAATTTGCATGTTAACATCCAAAATTAATTTTTTGTGAACAGATTGATGACTCTTCTGCACCTCTTTCTCTGGCCCAGCTAATTGAGGTATATATAGATTCTTGTCAAGTACTGTAAAAAAAACCCAACAAAACAAAAAAAACCCATGAATGTTTCATATTGTTAAATCTTACACTGTGATCTATAGCTGGATAACTGTTGGGATGTGAACAAGACTTTAATTGTTAATAATTTAAAGTATTTATTTTACCTTTAAAATGTGTTTATGTTTGGATACTATCCTGTAAAGGGTAGTTCCCAGTTTGGGAAGATAGCAGGGATGTGCCTTACCAGCCTCAGTGGAAAGTTGCAGTGTTACTCATCTCCAAGACACAAAGAAGCCCTTCAGGGGCTGTTCACCCTTTTTCACACATTTTGTTACTTTTGCATTGGAAGCAGACACAATTTTTGCAGAATACTGTTGTTATGGACATTCAGAGGGATCTGCAAGAGCCAAATTAGAGGCGTTTCTGTCACATGGGTAATTGCATGGCTGTTTTTTAATTTCTTGTCATGATAGTTAGGCCCAGTCTCTGGATGCTGTGCAGTGTCATAAATTGCAGTGCACACATAGTGACAGCGCTGTGTCATTGGTTTGCACACAGACTGTGTGAGCTGTGTGACTGTACCTGGTTGTTAAGAAGGATATATCCTTGTGTTTGTGGGGCGTTAGCAGATGTGGCCTTCCAAAACTGTTGCCATGCCATAGTTTGCTGTGGAACTGTTGGCATGCTGGTTCAGCAAGGTGTAGCTTTGCTGGGAAAGCACCAGTGATCGTCCTTGTTGAAAAGGTGCAGTGCCTGCCAAGGAAATGACTGGTCCTTGAAATTCCAAAGATTAGAGAAGGCAGGGCCTAATGCAGAGGAGCTGCTTCTTTCTACTGAAGATAAAGCCTGGAGTTAATTTCCAAGAAAGAGAAATTTCATCCCAATGGAAACTTCATCCCTCTCTCACTGCAGAAATGAAACATTTTACAATTTTTTAAAAAAAATAATAATAGAAAAATAATAATAAATCATTTTGGAAGGTAGCCACCAAAAGAAGCAGGTCTGCATTAGTGCTGTCCTTGGTGTTGTAAACTGCTGTGAAGTTTTATTCTAAAATGTGCAAACTGTCCAAGTGAGCTACACAAGCTTTTGAGAAAATGGCAATATTTCAGAAAAAGGCAGGAACACAACATAAGGCAGCTCAGAGCTGTTACTTACTGCAGCCTCTTCACTGCAGACTGGCTTAGCATGGAGGCAATGCACTGTACAAAGCTATCTGGTTTGTTATTACAATGTAAGAAATGCCATATCTGGATTTTGGTGTATTCCTAGTGAAGTGTTGTGGGATTTCGGTGTGTTTTGTAAACCATTTGGGTTCAAACAAATAAAGTTTTCTGTAAATGTTAATGGAAATAGTTTCATAGCTGTCAATCTGGATTATGTTGAGAAAAAACTGCATGTATGAAACAACCATTGAATAAAGCAGTGAAGTTAGTTGATTGCTCTTGTGGAGGAGTGCATATACAACCAGAATACAAGTGGCTGGCCTGAATAACAGGTGCTTGAAGGGCCAAAGAGCTTACAGTCCCTCCTTCAGACCCTGCTTGTATCTGGAGTGCCCAAGAAAGCTCTTTCCAAGTAGATGAGCAGGCCCATGAACACCCTGTCATGGCTTAAGGACTCCTCAGAACATCTTCAGGACAGTGGTGTTTGATACAAGCAGCTGTTTTAATGCAACCTGTGCCCACATTGTGCTGCTCTGTGCAGGACTGGGTGAGTGGTGGTGTCTTTGGCTGCGTGAGCTGAAACGTGTTTCTAACGTGTCAAATCACTCCTCAACAAACAGACTGCAGACCTGGCTGGAGCCAATGCTCCTGAAGAAGATAAAATCAAAGCGATGATGATACAGTCCTGCCGCTACTATGATCCAGCCAAGTGAGTGTTGAGGATCTCAGAGCTGTTCTTTGAAGATGATGGAAAAATTGCAGAGCTGTTTTAATAAGAAGGATACATGCATACTTTTTACTGTTTTTCCCCCAAAACTTACAGTTACATGAAGAAGACCTTGAGTCAACCTCCACCATCATACATTTGTTTTCATTGTGGAGAGCCTGGCCACTATAGAAAGAACTGCCCTACAAATGGGGTAAGATTGTGGGGGACTTTTGGTGACACTCGGTTGTTCATGTTTTTACCTTGGCAGTTACATAACAAAGATGAACACCCCTATTAAGAGTTGTTTCTCCTAGGCTGAAATACAGAGGGTATGTGGCAATGTTGCAAAGCCCTTCACAGGGCAAGGAAAATGTGGAATTCTACATGTAACATTTTCTGTTTTCTAGCTGACAGGCATTAAGTATGTCCACAGGTCTTTCTCTGTGAGCTTTCATGCAGATTTTTGTATATTTCAGTATGGCGGGAAATGTTTCCGGTATTAACTCTTTTTAATGACAGTTCCCAGTTGTTGGAGTTGCCTGTAGCACCAAGATGTTTCTGCTGACCCCATCTATTGAATATTTGTGTGTTTTAGTTCCCCAAGCCTCTGGCTGGGTGTTCATGACATTTAGTGTCAGCATCTGAGTGAATGACAAATGAATTCCAGCTTCACACAGAGGTGGTGACTGTGAGTTTCTCCAGTGACTGACTCAGAGCTGTGAATTAAGCTCCACTATGAATTGTGCTTTGGAGGAGGGGTGGGTTTGTGTCTCTTCTCTAGGTGGGTGGTGAGCTGAGGAGTGTTTCACCCTTAAGGATTCTGAAGTTAAGCCAAAGAATGTATGTGTTGAGGCCAAAAGACTGCTCAAGTCTTTGGAACTGCCTGGCTGTATTCCTTTAGGGAAGGAAGTATTTCAGCTGAGCAGCCTTTATGGGAAGCAAAAGGAGAGGATGAAAAGCTTTTGCTGCTTAAAATGATCATTGATGTGTCCTTTAGTGTGGGTATTAGATGAGGTGTCTGCATTTCCTTTCTGAACAGGACAAAAATTTTGAGCCTATCCCCAGAATTAAAAAGAGCACAGGAATTCCAAGGAGTTTCATGGTGGAGGTGAAAGATCCAAATACAAAGGGAGCGATGCTGACAAGCACTGGGCAATATGCGATACCGCTCATTAACGTGTAAGTGTGGAATTAACTGCATTGATCAGGCAGTGAATGAGTGACCCCACATGTAAACCTTCCTCTGAGCTTACGTAGATATATGGTGTGGCAAAGAAATGAAGCTGGCCAGCAACTGTAACCATGGGGAAGGAAGCACTGTCATTGTATCTTAACCTAAGAATCTGTGAGACTTTTTAATGTTTAAATAGGGTGGTTCTGCTGTTGGTGCCCCTGGAAGTTGGCTACACTTGTGCTGTGCTGAGAACCTGCATTTCTGCAGCACGTTTCAATCGTGCCCACTGTGGAGCTGTTCTCTTTGAAAGCTCCTTTTGCTGCTGCTTGACGTTTCAAAGGGTTCTTAACCAATCACATTTCCTCCTCCTGGGACTTTTATCAACCTCCCTGTGTGAAACAGACTGAAGTTTTCCTGTTGCTGTAAACTAAGAAAATCCTCCTGTGCTGCCCAGAGGGGCTGTTGTCAAATGCACTTGGTAGCACTTCTGTTTTTCTGCCATGGATCTCCCTTTGTAGAAGCTGTAACACAGACTTTTGATGTTTTGAAAGTGTCATTCCCCATAAAAAAACTTTATCCTGAGCCCGCAATGGACATTTACCCACTGGCAAAGGAGGGGTGGGATTCTCTTCCCCTGATTTCTATCTGTCAAAAGATGTTTTTTCTCATCTGGACTGATTTCTTAGTCAATCTGATGAAAGGGAGAGTTCTGCAAAAGGAAATTTCTCCCCCCCCCCCCGCCCTCTTCTAATGTTGTGGTAGAGAAAAGTAGTTAGAAGGCTAATGTGGAGTGAGAAGAATTCTGTTGTCTTCTTTGATAAAATCCAAAGCTTGGAAAATTTTTCCTTTACCCATCTTTATCTTTTTTCTTTTTCCTTCCCTACTCCCCCTCCAGGGAAGCTTATGCTAGAGGAAAGAAGGAGAAACCTCCCTTTCTACCAGAGGAGCCATCCTCCTCAGATGGGCCTGTTCCCAAGGAGCTGCTCTGTCCCATCTGCCAAGACCTAATGACTGATGCAGCTGTTATCCCCTGCTGTGGGAACAGTTACTGTGACGAATGTAAGTCTTCCTCCCTTCTTTGTGGATTCCCAACATCCCATCTGATCTGAAAGCAGGAACAGGAGATAGCAACAACCCTTTGTTACCAGGTGTGTTTCATACTGAAGCCCACCCTGAAAAGGAAAGGAGTCTTCTCTTGCAAATTTAAAAAAAAAAAAAAAAAAAAGCAGAAAGATTTTCCCCTTTGTACGTGTCTGGTTCAACCCTCTTTACAAACAGAAGGAGGAGTGTGAGAAGAGTGCAGGATTGGGCAGGTGATGACACTATTAGATCCTGGAGGCATACAGTTTGCCCACAGCCCTTTCTCTCACACAAAAGCCAGCTCTGGTGACCTACTGTGGTCTGCAACAGACAACTGATTGGACATTTCATCCACATTCTTCTCCATGGGAGAGCTGGGTAAACCCTTCAGAACTACAACCTGCTAGTGGTTTTTTGAGATGTGTTTTATTCCTTAACCTTGAGTTTGGTGATTTCTGACTCTACTAGACTGTGGAAAGAGGACTAATTGAAACATCAAGACACAGACTCCTCTCCATCTTCAGATGTTACAATAGGAAAATGTCAAGACTGTGTGGTTATGTGCTACCTTTTTTGTGCTGTTGAACATCGTAGCTTCATGCTCTCCATTTGAGACCATGTTCACCCATTAATCATTTATGTGCTTTTATAATTGTCATCGTTTGACTCAGGTCTGACAAAAATGCTCTCGATCCACTCCCCCTCTGACATAGGTAGGGAAGGAGAGGGAGAAAAAGAGAGAGACTTGGCTGGATTGAAAACTAAACTACACAGCTTTAATTAAACACTAATGATAAAAGAAAATATATACAATTATATACAAATATGTTCAGGTATGGGCAAAAGCCTCTTGCCTCCCTCCACCCCCAGCAACTCCCACAGCATCTTCTGAGCTCGGAACAATCTTGAAAAGCCCCAGATTGCTGCTGGAGAAAGCGCAGAGTGATGAGGGTCAGGAGAGCTAGAGCCTGGGGGTCAAGGGTGGGGGATGGACGGAGTCCTCCCCGGACGCCGGCCATGGATGGAGGAGAAGGGAAGAATCAGGAAGGAAGTTATCTTCTATGATCTCTGACCTTCCTCTGAGCTTACGTTGATATATGGAATGGAATATCTCTGGCCAATTTTG